ATCTCTCAATTAGTTCCAGTAGATTTTAGACTGAGTCTCTTGGGTTTTCTAGGTAGAGGATCATATCATCAGCAAATAGGGATAGTTTGACTTCTTCCTTACAAATTTGGATGCCTTTGATTTCCCTTTCTTGCCTTATTGCGCTGGCTAGAACTTCTGATACAGTGTTGAATAGAAGTGGTGATAGAGGGCATCCTTGTCTGGTTCCTGTTCCCAAGGGGAATGGTTTTAGTCTCTCTTCACTGAGAATAATGTTAGCTGTTGATTTTGCATTTATGCCCTTTATTACTGAGGAATTTCATTTCTATTCCTGTTTTGTTGAGAGTTTTAATCAGGAATGGGGTTAGATTTTATCAAATGCCTTTTCTGCATCGATTGATATGATCATGTGGTTCTTTTTCCTTTGTTTTATTTTTGTGGTGGATGATGTTGATTGTTTTTCTCATGTTGAACCATCCTTGGCATACCTGATATGAACCCCATTTGGTCATAATGTATTGTTTTTTGGATATGCTGTTGGAGTGTGTTGGCTAGGATTTTGTTGAAGATGTTTGCATCTTATATTTATGAGGGATATTGGTCTGTAGTTTTCCTTTTTTAGTAATGTCTTTTCCTGGCTTTGGTATAATCACGGTTATGCTTGCTTTATAAAATGAATTCGGGAGGATTCCATCGTTTTCTATGTTCTGGACTAGTTTGAGTAGGAATGGTATCAGCTCCTCTCAGAATGTTTGGTAGAATTCTCCAGTGAAGCTGTCTGGGTCAGGACTTTTTTTTTGTTGGTAATTTTTTTATGACCTGTTCAATTTCTTCTTTTGTTATGGATCTGATCAACTTTTCCAGCTTAGACTGTGTTGGTTTAGGTAAGTAGTGTGTTTCTAGAAATCTTTCCATTTCTCTAGATTTTCAAATTTGTTGAAGTACAGTTCTTCATAGTATCCTGATGCTATCTTTTTTATTTCAGTTGGTTCTGTTGTGATACTGCCCATTTTGTTTCTTATTCATGTTATTTGTATTCTCTCCTTCTTTTCCTTTGTTAAATTTGCCAGTGGTTTGTCAATTTTATTAATCTTTTCAAAAAAACAGCTTCTCGTCTTGTTGATTTTTTCTATTGTCTTTTTATTTTCTGTTTCATTGATTTCTGCTCGAATCTTTATTATTTCCTTTCTTTTAGGCTTTTCTTGCTGTCCTTTTCTAATTGTTGGAAATGTTAGTTTAAAGTGTTGATTTTGGCTTGTTCTTCTTTTTTGATGTGTGTATTTATTGCTATAAATTGGCCTCTGATCACTGCTTTTGCTGTATCCCAAAGATTTTGGTATGTTGTATTTTCATTCTCGTTTGATTCAAGGAATCTTTTAATTTCATTTTTTATTTCTTCTATTACCCATTTGTTCATAAGGAGGGTGTTGTTCAGTTTCTGTGTGTTACCTCTGTTTCCGTTGATCTTTAGGTTGTTGATTTCTAATTTTATAGCATTGTGATCTGAGAATATGCTTTGCAGTGTTTCAAGGTTTTTAAATTTTTTAAGACTTGCTTTATGGCTTAACATATGGTCTATCATGGAAAATGTTCCATGTGCACTGGAAAGAATGTATATTGTGCTGTTGTTGGGTGAAGTGCTCTGTAGCTATCTACAAGGTCAAGTTGGTGGATTGTGTTGTTTAGCTTTTCTGCATCTTTGTTGAGTTTTTTTTTTTTTTTTTTTCCAGTTTTCCTACTTCATTGAAAATGATGTATTAAAATCTCCTTCTATGACTGTGGAGTCATCTATTTCCTTTTTCATTTCTGTTAAAGTCTGATTTATGTATCTTGGGGCTCTTTCATTGGGTCTGTAGATACTTATTATGGTTATATCTTCTTGTTTGGGTGATCCTTTAATCATGATATAATGTCATTCCTTGTCTCACGGTGGTTTTTGCCTTAAAGTCAGTTTTATCAGAAATTAATATTGCCTCTCCTGCTCTTTTTTGGTCGCCATTTGCCTGATACATCTTTTTCCAACTTTTGAGATTTAGTCTATTTTTGTCTTTGTCTCTAAGGTGTATCTCTTATAGACAGAATATTGATGGGTTATATTTTCTTATCCAGTCTGCAGTTCTCCATTTCTTGAGTGGTGTATTTAATCCATTGACATTCAGTATAATTATCGACAAGTATGAATTAGTTGCTGTCATTTTGTTATGTGTTTTTTCATGGTGTTCCTGGTTTCTTTGTTCCATATAATTTTCTATGCTGAGCTCATTATGTTTATGAATCATGTTATCATTTTCTTTGTTGCTCTTGTTTTAGTATTTGCTAAATATTTGTCCTTTTTTTGTGATGTGAAGGTTAATCATTTTCCTCTGAGGTTACCCTGTGACTTATAATTTTGTTCATGAGTTTAGAACAGTCCATTCTATCTTGCAACTCTCTTGACTTCCTCACCATTTAGAAGTTCTGTAACTACACTATTTTTTCCTTCTTTATGGTTTGTAGTTGTCCTCATTTGCCAATTGATAGCTCTGGTTCCTTGTTTACAATCTTGTAAGCTTATTTTCCTTTGGATACTTCCATAGCTATGTTGGTTTGTGGGTTATGTCATCATGTGCATTAATGATCAGTTGTTTGCTATTATTGGTTCTCTGTTCAAAGGATTCCCTTTAGTATCCCTTGTAATGTGGGTCTGGTTTTAACCAATTCCCTTAATTTCTGCTTATCTGAAAATCTAATTTCACCAGCATATCTGAGGGACAATTTTGCCAGGTATGTAATTCTTTGTTGGAAATTTTTATCTTCCAGGGTTTT